GACGAGAAGCAGAAAGAGGCCACAAGACAGTTCTACTGCCCAAATCAGAAATAAAGGAAGGGCAGAACAGAGTAGAAGGCTCGGGTGGAGACTGGGTATGTCCACTTGATTTGACAACTAGAAAGCTACTGAACAACTCACTGAGAATATTTCATTTCACTGATGATATATTTAAAATGTGCTCAGATTTTTTTTTAAAGAACAGCAAAACTAGTTCTCAGTTAAATTTGGCTTATAATGGCCTGCTTATCTTATGTCTAAATCAGTACCTCCAAATGTTTTGAACTGCCCCAAATGTTATTCAGTATTCACTCAGCAATTGACAACCCCTTTATGGATAGCACAATTGTCACAAGATTCCAGGAGAACACAACACTGGTTGTGTAAGTTTTAGGAAATAAAGTCAACTCCTAATTTTCCACATCAGTGAAGAGAAACAGTGACATGGGACACAGATGTGCCTGTGCTCCTCGCCCCAGCCGCGGTCTTTACCAAAGGGCCACGGTGCGCCAGGCAGCTGGGACGCAGCCATCACAGTGTTTAATCTCACAAGCCTGAAAGCCCCGGAGGTAAAGGAACTGCTCAAAGGCACAGAGTTACTCAGAGCAGAATGGAAATGTAAATCCAAGTCTTTCTAACTCCGAAGTCTATCGTCTTGCTTCTCATACTTGGTTAATTTCCAAAGCAAGAAACACTGGACATCCCACTGTACAGTGGCGTGGACTGTGGGCAAATAATTAACAATATAGTAGAAGAAATGAGCTCTACTTAAAGAAATTCAGTATCAAATGTGACCAGGATTACGGTTTGTAAATGATGTTACTGAAAAGATTGCCAAAAGGCAATACAGTCAGATGACCAAGGCAGGCATGGTTTTGAGGTTCTGATATTTTGATATCTTTTTAAGGACACTCAGGAAACACAAAAGCAAGATAGAAAGATCTAGACAACTCAATGGTGCTAAATCACAAGTGTTTAATTTTGATTCTAACTGTAGAAAAAGTCCACCATGAAGGACTTTATCAAATAAAACAGATAAATCATGTCCTCATGATTTCTCCTCAAGAAAAGGAGAGTTTAATCTGGCTGTGGGGGCCAGGGTGGACTGCAGGTGAGCATCTGGAGGAAGGAATGGCAGCTAAGAAGAAACTGTCACCACCTGGTAGTACAAAACTCGGCACTTCCCAGTTGGATGGGAACATTCAAGTTTTTACTTGCAAGAGGCTTTTCTCAGTTATCTTCTAAAGAAATTATACTAGGCCTTAGTGATTGAATATCATGGTCTTGGCCCAAATTTACTGCACACACATTTCTATAGAAGCTGAGATCTACAACACTCTATCTTGGCTCGATTTCTGCAATGAGATTAAATGGCATTAGGAAAACAGAAACAAACTAAAGGGGCTATCATTTATTGTTAAAAACCTAAAGTTTTAATAAATTCTAATGAAATTTGTATGAGAACCAACAAGTTCTAATTTTGACTACATCTGTGCCACTTCTACCTCTAGAGAGGTAACCACTAGTCCAGATCCAGGTGCTTTTACAAACCCAGCTCAACGCTGTTCTAAGTGGCCTTCCTCAACTAACCTAGAACATTCTGCCTACTCCTTAAAACCACATTAGCAATCTCTATATAGTTTTTCCATAGGCAGCTGTGTGATTTTATTCTATTTCATATATTTGTAAATTGCAGCCTCTTCAGACATAAATTGGAAGCTCACTGAAAAGAAATACACCATATATTTATATAATGCATATATAAATATGCATCTTTTATATATATAAATTTTTCTTCCTTTGTTTCCAAGGCATTTATTATAATACCAGCTACAAATATATTGCAAAGGGGGAACATATTTATAAAGAAAAACAGATGAGAATACAGATTAAAAAACTCTCCCACCTCACATTTTCTTGTGATCATTCTTGTTTTCACATTATATCACTACTAGTAGACAACCTGCTGTGATATCTTTTGTAAAAGTTCACTAAAGTCAATCAATGCAATAAAGTTCAAGTCAGGTTCCACCTCTCTAAAAAGATAGGGTAGATTAGACGAACTCTAAGATTTTGTTCTAAGCCATAAACTTTTAGTAGTCTTTGCAGTGTTTGATCAATAAAGCTATCAAATTATATATAATAAAGTACTAACAGCAATTGTTGGTCACACAAATGCAACAAAAATAAAACAACAGAGTGCAAATATCTGAAAATTAATGCTGGTCAAATGACTGTATCTGTTCATATATGATAAACTACCACGTGTAGTTTTATAAATCTACTTATAAAAATGTAATCATTTTCATTTGATTATAAAGGATAGTGGACATTATAGTGAGAAAGTTTTAGTTTGAGTTATGAGTAAATAAGATCAAACTTTTGACTTAAAATAGCACTCAGAAACAAAAGATGCTTTGACGTGGTCGCTTGTAGAGGCATCATCCCTACAATACAGGGTAGGAGTCAAGATGCTCTACATAATTCACACTGTGGAGTAGGTACACATGTCGGCTTCTCACTATACAGACACCGGGTTACAATTGAAGGGTATGATCTTTCTGTAAAGGAATCTAAGATATACAGGAAAGCTATATAAAGGTGATGCACTGTCTTCAGAATCTTAGAAGGCCAATAGTCAAGGCACTATAAGTAAATATGTTTGGTGTAAATGAAGAGTTTTTGGAGAAAATGGTAGAAGATGAGGCTATAGAGGTGAGTAAAGCATAGATTATGAAGGGACTTGTGTACATGCAAAGGAATCTAGAGCCTATAGGATACCAGGCAAAAATAAAGAATTTTGAAAACGGAGATAATGAAGTGAGTCTGGGCTTTTATACAGACTATTTTAGGAAAGAAATGGAAAATGACACTCATAAAGCCACTGCAGCAGTCAATGCCAGATCCTCAAACTTTGTTTTGTTGGAATACCTAGACTAACAATTTGTTGCTTTTACTTTCCAGTGGAAAAATAATTCAGGGATAAATAAATAAACAAAAAAATGAGTTTTAGAGTAGGGTTATATGTGTATTTTTGCTTTTACATAAGGCACAGATGATACATATTAAACCATATTACAACCATGTCTTAAAGTCTAGGTATTTCAAAATCAATAAGACATAAATACTATAATACAGATATGCATAATTATAACCAAAGGGTGTAAAAACAGCCTACAATAAGCCATATTAATGATTAAACAAACACATTTATAACAAAAAAATCAAGCACAGCAATAATAGGAAATCATGACCAAGTGAAGACAGTGTATATTACAAGCGTATATTTGCCCTATATTCTAATTACTCTTAGTAATTCCCATAGTATGAAGGCTTGGTGTGGAGTTTGGGTTTGGTGCATACACTTCTCGATGCTTCTGAGACATTTGGGTAGAGAAGCCATGTGGGCAGCTTGACAGAGAAGCTGGAGTGGAGGGAAGAGAACTGTCCCTGTTCCTGCGCTGCCGGCCCCCCCTGCTCCAGCTGAGATCACTCCTACTTGAGAAGTTACTGGCCGAGGAGGGACAGATGGGTGGAGGTGTACTGGGGGTAACATAAGTTGAGAACCATCCCCCCAGCATGCCAGCTGTGAAACCAGGGAGAATAAAAAGTGAGCCGCCCCTGGTCTCCCTTGCTTCTCATTCTTTGTGTGCAGGCTCTATGCGTGCCAACACATTCCAAGTCCCACACAGGCCTGCACCTTATTGATTTTGTAGTTTTTAAAGAGCCTGGCACCATGTAAAACTGTTTACCAAATTATTTAGTCCAAGATTCTTCTCATTTTTGCAAGAAATTAAGGAATTCTTTTACAGATGCAGTTAGTCCTTTTAGGTCTAAGGTCCAACCATCATTAGGCTGACTCAGTGTAAGACATCCTCATTAACAGAGTAACATTCTTGCTCCAGCCCAAGAAGCCAAGGGGAGGGAAACAGAAACAGTATGGGAACAAAACAAACATAAGAATGGAGAACACTTGCACTTATGTCTGGAACTAGTTATTAGTCATGTCAGCCTAATCAGATCAGAGGACTCCTTCAGACAAAAGAATAAGATATTTTGGTTCGAGGCTCATTAAAATTTAGAGTGGTTAATTTCCTCCTTAACTTTTAAGTAGCTAGAAAGACAGAAATGAAGATACCAGTGAAATAGGTTTAGGATTTTTTTTTTTTACAACTAAAAAAATTTTTAAATTGCTAAAATTTAACATATTAATATCTTTTCCAGAACTTTTTGTACCTTATTCTATAAAATTAAGATGACATATTTACTTAATATTTTTGTGACTAAGAGCAAATCTTCAATATGTTTAAATACATATTATCTGAGTCCCTGAATGTTTTAGAACATCTATTGTCACCTTTATATAGGAAAACAGCTTATTTAGGTAAAATTCTTTTCCTTAAAAGTCGATGATTTGTTCCATTATCTCTTGCTTCTCACTGGCTATAGTAAAGAAATTGATGCCAACACAATTTTGGTTCCATCATAAGTACATGTATCTTCCCCTGTTCCTCTCCATCTGGACGTTTGTATGCATTTTTCATTACTTACTTTCAACTTAAAAATTGATTCCAGGATATATATATTCAAAGGAAGATTGTATCTGTCAATTTTACATAAAACAACAATGAGCTCTTTCAATAAAAAGAAAAGATCTTTAAAAAAATAAAATGGAATTCAGCTAAAAGCAATGACCAAAATCAGATGAATTCAGATATGTTGGCTGAGTTTTCTAAACTAAAATGTAGAAAATGAAGATTCCTTTGGGAAATGCTATCAAAATAATTTCTTAATGATTATTAACTTTTTATTTATATAAAGGCCTGCCCTTTGAAGATTAACTGTAAATAATTGGCTTTCAGTATAGCTGTAGTGGTGATTAATTAATTCGCCTATCTGATATTTATCTTTTTAATGTCTATAATGGCGTAAGTAAGTAACATTATGGCTGGAAGTCAGGCTAAGTATTTAAAAAGCAACAACAAAGAGCAGATACTCACGACGTGGCACTTCCAGTGGGTGTCCTGTGGCGTCACACCACCTGGCCGGGTGGATGTCAGGGCTGTCTGCCTCTAACCAGTAGTCGTACTTATGGTCCCAGCCATCGAAATGAATCTGTCAAAATGAGCTTTGAATAATTAGTATTTAGAGATTAGCATTTCACTATCTTTATAACAAAATATTTGAAAACAGATCTCTGAAGCTGAGATGGAAATTTTGTTAATGAAACAGTATTTAAAATGTGCTATTCTATAGCCTTCTAATAATCTAGCCACCAAAGGCCACTATACCAATTTTTCAAAGAAATTAAAGAGGTTGGTAAATAAAAAATTTGTCAGGGATTGATTAAAATTTAAAGGGATAAGATCAATCCATTTTCTCAACTAAGACAAATCCTATAATATTGTTGAGAGGACGCTTCCTGTCCTGGGCAAGTGTCCTGGCAACCACTGCGAGAACCACGTCAGCGTCATCAACAGTAAGAGTCACCAAGCTGACCTCAGGGCAAGTTTCATACTGAGGAAAAATGCATGGATTCGAGTGTAAGGAAGCAATACATTCCTAAATTCTCACAAGTGAGAGACAGAGACCCATTGTAACAATGGAGGCAAAGAGAGCAAACAAAATATGCTACTGGGTAGATGGATTTTAATAGCTACCATAATAGCTACTGAAAGACAAAGCATAAGCTATCAGGAAATCTTCCATGGAAGAGGTAGGGCTCAGGTCCAGAAGTCCTACTGGTACAGGCTCAAGCAAGGATAATTTATCTTTGTTTTGTATCTTATCTACAAAACACACACACACACACACACACACACACACCATGACATATATGTACAAGTCTAAGAATAATTAAAGTCCAATTTCAGAAACAAAAATAAAATACTTATTTCTTAAATATAACAAATGCCATGTTCTGGAAATTTCATATCTAGATAAATAATAATCCTACAAGACTATCCTTCAAAAAAAAGAGTAAAATAAAGAAACTTTCATAGAACATAAACAGAAGAATAGTTACCTATAGATTTACACTACAAGAAATAGTAAAGGAAGCATTTCAGACTCAAGGTAAGTGATGACAGATGGAAACTCTAATCTACAAGCATGAATGAAGAGCACCAGGAAGAACAAACAGGCGGGAAAATGTGCAAGACTAGTTCAGCATTCTAATGGTAATCAATCAATTCATCACATAACAGAATAAAGAGGATAAATAATGTGGTCGTCTCACTAGATACAGAAAAAGTGTTTGACAAAGTTCAATGCACAATAATGAACACAAGTATAAACATTCTCAGTAAATTAGAAATAGAAGGAAACTCCTTCAATCTGGAAAAGGGCATTTATGAAAAACTTAGTTACTATCATATTAAATGATATTTTATTGGATGCTTTCCCAAAAAAATCAGGAATGAGACAACTTTATCTGTTCTTCCCACTTATGTTCAACATTGCAATGCGGAGCAATTAGGCCAGATAAAAAGAAATGAAAGGCATAAGAGCTGCAAATTAAGAGGATAAACTATATTATTCTCAGATGATGACTGTCCATGTAGAAAATTATAATACATCTAAAAAAATTACAAATTACTAGAATTTTGTAAGATTGAAGGTTCAAAGTCAATATAAAATAATCAATTACATTTCCACATATTGGCAACAAACAATTGGAAAAAATTAATATTTAAAAAAAATTATGCTTAAAATAGTATTAAAAAATGTGAAGAACTTAGTGAAACATCTGGAAAAATAAGAAAATGTGCAATACATACACACTGAAAACTAAAAAAACATTCCTAACAGAAATTAAAAGATGATCCACATAATTAGAGAGAATTATCATGACCAAAGGCTGGAAGTCTCAATATTATTATTAGGATGTCATTTCTTACCAAATTATCTTATAAATACAATATATTCCCACTCCAAACAGCAGGATTTTTTTTGTATCAGTGATGAGCTAATTCTAACATTATATAAGAATAAAAATGACCTTATTTATCCAAAATAATTTTGGAGGACTCATACTATCTGATTTCTAGAATTACTATAAAGGCACAGTTAATAAGACAGTGTTGTACCACCTTAGGATAGGCAAATATATTAATACAACAGAATAGTGTACACAAATTGACATATCTATCTATCTATCTATCTATCTATCTATCTATCTATCTATATATATATATATATAGAGAGAGAGAGAGAGAGGGAGAGAGAGAGAGTCAATTGATTTTCCAGCTATATGACAAGGGTATTCAATGAGGAAAGGAAAGTCTTTTCAACAAATGGCATTAGAACACCTGGCCATCCACACGTGGAAAAAAAATGAGCCAGCAAACTGCTACCTTAAATCTTATATACAAATGAATTTGAAATGGATCAGAGATCTAAACATAAAAGCTAAAACTATAAAACCCAAGAAGAAAATTTACCATAAAATCTTTGTGATATTGGAATATTCAATGATTTCTTGGCACTACCCATACAAAAATAAATTAATAAATTCAATTTTCAGGCCGGGCATGGTGGCTCCCACCTGTTAATTCTAGCACTCTGGGAGGCCCAGGCGGGTGGATTGCTTGAGGTCAGGAATTCGAAACAAGCCTGAGCAAGAGTAAGACCCCTGTCTCTACTATAAAATAGAAAGAAATTAATTGGCCAACTAATATATATAGAAAAAATTAGCCAGGCATGGTGGCGCATGCCTGTAGTCCCAGCTACTCGGGAGGCTGAGGCAGTAGGATTGCTTGAGCCCGGGAGTTTGAGGTTGCTGTGAGCTAGGCTGACGCCATGGTACTCACTCTAGCCTGGGAAACAAAGTGAGACTCTGTCTCAAGAAAAACATAAATAAATAAATAAATAAATTAATTAATTAATTCAATTTTCATCATAATCAAAATTTGTTTTTCAAAATCACTAAGAAAAATAAGCAAAGCACAAATGTTTGCAATTCATTTATCTGAAAAAAGACTTGACAAAAAATCCATTAAAAAAATGGGCAGACTTGTTAGACAGTTTGAAAAAAAGAAAGTTCATGAATGATCAATAAGCAAATAAAAAAAACTCAACAGCACTCTCCATCAGAGAAACTAAAATGAAACACTCATTTCATTTTGTACCCCCACTGGAATGACTTAAATGACTGACAACGTCAATTACTGATGAGGCCGTACAGCTCCCTGAACATTCATAACAATGTTGGCAGGGGTGTCAAATTGTACAACCAGTTTAGAAAACATTTTGCTACATTTTTTACAAATGTGCCAATCCTGTGACTTCCAGCAATTCCACACAAAAGAGATGAAAATACAAAGTCATGTAAACAAATGTTCCTTGCAGTTTTATTCATAATTGTCCAAACCTGAAAACAACTCAAAAGTTCAACAGGTGAATATCCATTCACAAAGTGTGTTGGACCCATAAAATGAATACTAATCGGCAATAAAAAGGGATAAACTATTTACACACGCATGAACGTGGGATCAAGCAAACCGACATCATGTTGAGCAAAGAGGCAGACACAAAAGAGCGCCTGCTGTATGAACCCACTGGTATGAAGTTTGACAAGAGGCCACAGAAATCAGGTCCGAGGCTGTCTGAGAAGCGGGGTAAGGACTGGCTGTGGAAGGAGCACAAAGGAAACCTGGCAGTGTTGGAAATGTTCCAAATCTTCTACAGGGTGGTGGTTATGCAGGATATACATTTATCTAACACTCATCAAAATGCACATGTAAAATCTGTGCATCTTATCATTTGTAAATTTTATCTCAACACAGTTACTTTATTTAAAACATCTCTACACTCAGCTGCTGTCTCATGTGGCTGCTCTGTCCTTCACCATATTCTACTGATGGCGAGGATGCCGCGCTCAGGACACAGTCAGACCCCACAGGGCTTCAGCGCCAGGAGACCGAATAGCCAGTAGCACAAAGGCAAAAAGGACGTTCTTTTCTGGCATGATGCCTGCTGCTTCGGATTTACCAACAGCAAGAAGCTTACGTAAGTCCAAGTGATGGAGTGAAGAAGAAATAAGAAACATTTTCCAAGCTTTGGTATTTCAACCTGTCTAGTTTCAATGTCCTTCTCCTATTACGTTTACAGTGTAATTTTTTTGTTTGTTTAAAAACAAGGACACAACCTCCAAGCACAAACAAAACAGCCGAATACCCCGGCAAGACCCTGCTTTGAGGAGGTAGGCCTTTCTATTTTTAGCTGTTGTGCCAGACCTGGGAATCCTACTGCAGAATTAGGTCTAAACTGAAAAGTTAAAAAAAAAAATTCAGATTTTTTTTTTTGACAGCAGATACAATATTTTTATGCTATTCAACATTTTCCTTTTATGTTCATTAAGAAATGTTAAATTTTCCTTTCCAAGGCTGTATATAATTACTTACAGTGAAACCACAGGAATTAAAAATAGACCTTTCCATTCCAATGATGTGATATCTACCCCCTCAAAGTGTTGTCTGAACTTGGAATATATAATCAAAATCTGTATCTCTTTACATCTTCATGAAAGATATTTTCATATCTTTGTATATCTGGAGTGAAAATCCAATTTAAAAATTCTAACCAGATGGTCAAGTTAATAGAGGAGATTGACATTTTAAGCCTATTTACAAAGGGTTCCTTTGTCAAGAAAAGAATCATTTTGAAAACCAATCATCACCATCATTGTGTTTCATACATTTATCATTTTTCACATATTTGGGTTTTCAAAAGTAAACATATAGGCCCTTCTTGCTCAGATTTTGATGAACTAGAAAACAAAGGTCAGGTCACTGAATTGACCAACTCAAGTTCTCCTTAAACAGATGGTAATGCTTCCTGATGGTATTAAAATTATATATATATATATATATATATATATATATATATATATATAAAATAAATTATTGGTAATATAACTTGGAAATTTAAAAATTAGATCATGTAAAAAAACAAGGACAAACTCATGAGCATAAATCCAAAGCTGTCAATCATCTGGACCAACACTGTCTCTCTGCTTTGCCTTCTCTTCACTGCCCGATGCCCACATCAGAACTGGCCTCAGTGCCTTGATGCTGGCCCCTGAGACCCAGTCATCTTTGCTGCCTCCGGGGTAC